TTTTGAAACAGAAAGTTTACATATTGATGAAAAATCATTTCATCACATGTCATTCCGAGTTTGCACGGTAAGAATGTGAATGTTCTCTGCTGGTAAAAGAAGTGTGCAAAATTTGCACACCAACGTGTGCAAGTAATGATATTGTACATTACTCGTTGTGTAACTGAAGTTGCACACTTGTTTGGTGTAGAAATTTTAGAAGTTTTGTTAGCGTTTAAATCCTGCACACTTGGATACCCACAGATTTTTTGCTATCAATAGGAACCATCATATGGTTTGCAGCTTCCATACTTTTCGGAAGTGTCGAAAGTTTCAACAACAATTGACGTATAACCTAGTGGTCGTCCTGGACTCTACCGGGTGTAATTGTGAATACGCAGCAGTGTTGCGGGTTTGCCTACTCTTTACGCCCGCAAAATATCGCTAGTTAGACCGGACGTTGTGATATTCGCGTTACCCGTGAAAAGTTGCTCTAGAAACAGCAGGAAAAGACTCGACTTTCCCAAAGCGAGGCCTTTTGGAGGCATATGGAGCGTAATCAGAATGTGTGAAAATGCCCTGAAATGTTGACACAACGCTGTCCCACTGCACGATACGGGAGAGAGGGAATCATGCAACAGTTACTCGAAACTGCAAAACTCACGCGAGGCAAAAGCCAACCCTGCTCTGTATGTACACGCCAGGCGCCAGCCGCACTGGTCTCGGTCATGGCCTTCCGGTGGTCCATCATCCTGGTGGCGCTCATCGCGCGCCAGGCAGACGTTCTTGGCAAATCCTTCAACTCTTTCGCGGTATGTTTGGGAAATCCTATTTTCAACAGTGTCTTTGTCGTTCTACTTTCCGTGGTAAACGGTTTTGTTCTGCGTCTCCTCCGGTATACAGGGCCCTTGGATTGGTTACGTCGATCGCTTTTACTTGTGCGAAGAGCCCAATCACCCGCTCCCGTGGAGATGGCATCTGCGTGGAACTCACTTCAATCCACAAAAACCTACAGAACTACAACTACTTACTGGAAACATGACGTTTGAAAAGGAACCTCTTGATGATAGCACATGGGTAAGACATCGATTGTGGATGGTAAAATAGATTGATAAAAGGCGGGATACTGGAGATGAATACATTTAGCTAAACCATCTTTGTTGTATTAGATAAAAGTACTCATGGCTGTTTGGACAAATAACCAATGGAAGGAAAACTCTTTTATCTTCCATTTTAAAGACAAGGGATGCACGGCTATTAAAGAAAATATGGCTGGATTTTACGAGATTTTTTTTAAGAAGACAGAAACTCAGGGCGCGTGCATAATCAAACCAGTAAGTAACTTATCTGTAAGTCTCCTCTGCACTGGTAAAACAAAGGTAGGATACCGCACCTTTCTTTTCCATTGTGGTAATAAAGTTAGGGTATTTTTTAGAGATAGAATTTTTCGCAGAAGATTGAAGTAGCTGATGAAGTTGACTCAACGTGTTAACAATTTGTCTTTAGTCAGAAGAGAGAAGGAAAGGAAAAATGACTCACAAACTTATCGGCCGTTAGCGACCAATCACAACGAGCTCTGCCACTGGTGTAAATTCTATCAGGATTTCCTGATCGCATTGCAGTGCCCTGATTCCTTATCGTATCCAAAGTTTCTGATAGTTTCCTCGGTGATGGTTAGTTTCTGTTTGTTCCTTCAAAACCTTATGGTATTATCTAAATTTTTTGATGGTGTTTTTTTTCCCTGATCGTAAAATTTCTGATGGTGGGCCATCAGGATAATTTCTAATTTCTGATGTTATTTTTCTGATCGTACGAACATCTTTGATGGTTATTTGACATTTTCTGATAGTTCTTTTTAGTACCATCAGAAAATGATGTTTTCCTGATCTCCTCGATGAAGCAAATGATTGGCCTGACGAAACTTTGCCCCGCACGGTAAAACGGCTTTGTGTGGCAGAGGATCACATACTTTATCGTTTCCTTACATAAAAACAAAATCACCTTTATCACCCCGTGATTTCTAGGAGAACGGCTAAAGATAGGACAATTTTGACACCACCATTGTGCTCAGCGCTGAAAGTTTAGACGGGTGCTGTACAATCTTGGCTCTTGCGCGGTCCTACCGCTGACTTACTTCACCTTTAAAGATGCTACCATCAAAGACATTTACCAGTAGTATACTAACCTTCATTCTTCGTTTCCCATCAGAACGCAATCACCATCAGAATTTTACCATCAGAACCCAACTTTACTATCAAAACAATACCATCCGGCTAAAATCTATCAGGAACGTCGCATTTTCTATCAGGAATTAGACAAATAACTGATCTACCTATTTTGATGGTATTTTTCTTTATTGTAAATCTTCTGATGGGATTTACACCAGTGTGAGCTGTTTCGGCTTTCAACACAATAGAATTTTCATTGTAAACGCTGTGATTATTTTTTTTACAGGGAGTTTACGAGGTCAACAACGCCCCAATAAATTGGAACAATCCAAATGTTCCAGTAATGATGTACGGTCGCTATAGGCAAAAACTTTTCGCTGGCAAGAAAGACAAAGTCAACCAGTGCTTAGTAGCAGAATTAAGGGCGATCCCTAAACTCGCATACAGTCAAGGTCCCTAAATCTGGACGAAGAAAAACTCCTCTATCTTCTGTAATTGTGGGGCCATAACAAATCGCTGGGGATTCTGCAGGGTGGTGCCTTCCCTCATGTTGCTGTACCGGATGCAGGCGTGTGCCCGGGTTGCATACTCGCACGGTGCCATAAGGTGCCGCGGTGAGCGAGCGACGGTAGGCAGGCCCGGCCGCACGCCTGCATGTAACAGTATACGTGCCACAGCCTAAGAACTGTGCGTGGTTTTGCCAGCTGTGCGTCCTTTGACGGAGTTGCGTGGTTTCGCCAGCGCCAGAGCTCAGTGCGTGCTTTTCATAAATGATACATAGAAGCAAAATTATGTCTTACCAACAGTACTGTCACACATTTTCTGCAACTGGATTAATCCCCTGAAATGTAGGTAACAAAATTTTGTCAGGTAAAATTTTGGAAAAAATACGATTTTGTTTGACTTTACTTTCGTTTTATGAAATTTTCTGTGAAAGAAATAATTCCATGCATAATTAATTAACGTTTCCATAATGTTGACACTTTGACGTCTCGCCTTCGAAAAGTGGCCGTATAGGTTTTAGCCTGCCCTATAGTAACACAAAACTGTCACGCATAGTGTAATTTTTTCAATCGGCCAATTATTGTGACGATAACAAACATTTAAAAGTTCCAAAATTTCACTTTTTGCACCATTTCCCCATGTTAAACTTTGACAGCCTGGCGGGACATTTTCCCGCGGTCCGATCAGGTCGCCTGTAGGCTCGAAAATCTTGTATTTTGACGTAGCACTACAGGCCCTCGCGATTTCAAAACTTCCTGTAAAACGCCGTCCTTTAACATCACACGCGGTACCACAACGATCAGTTTACATCTTAAAGTTCCGCTGTCGCGTGCAAAAAATATTGTTTTGGTCTAAACTTACTCATCAGACAGCCAAGAACTATTTTTAGGTAAAGCCGATTGAGATTTCGACCCACTATAGCCAATCGCATATTTCCTCATTTTCTGGGTACACTCGTTGATCAGCCTTTACTGACGCCCTCAGGTGGTGCGACTCATGCTGATCATTACATAGTCCGATCAAGTCACGTCACGTTTGTCTACAGCACTCGTACCGGTCAACGACACATTGATCAGCCAAGCTATCGAATCGAACTGACCAAAGAGAACGCCGCGTACAGCGTGCAAACAGGAAGAGATAAGACAGCGAAGTGCGGTGGCAGATACGTGCACTGGAAACCCAAGAGTGTACTTGACAAAGTACACACTATCTCCTGCATACTTGCCAAGTACATAGAATTTCCTGCATACATGTAGGTATGCAGCAGATTCTGCATTCAAGTACACACTTGGGTTTTTAGAGTGGTCCCATCGTCCAAGCACTCTCATCTTCCATAGGACTCAAGTTCCTTAATAACGGTGTAAAAATAAATCTACAGCGTGAACAACAGTCGTCAACTATTGATAGGAATAACGGATTTAAACTGTTAACTGTTGTTATGCTGTGGATTAGTTTTTTACGCGTGCAGCAAAATAAGAGAAAGGAGAGAGCATGGAGAGAGAGAGAGAGTGGGGGGTGGGGTGGGGGGAGTCACTGCCCTCAATCGAGGAGGGCTCGGCAAAGGTTTCGTAAACGTGAAGCGTCAGCGTTCCCCAGCGACACCCTCCAGCTGTACTGCGTCATCGGCTCAGTTCGCGGTCCTCACTCCCGCCCCACCC